GCATTGTTGGTGGAGTTGTGAACTGATTCAACCATTTTGGATAGCAATTTGGAACTATGTCCAACGGACCATAAAACTGTGTATACCCTTTGATCCAGCAATATCACTACTAGGTCTGTATCCCAAAGAGATCATAAAAATGGGAAAAGGACCCACATGTACAAAAATATTTATAGTAGCTCTTTTTGTGGTGGCAAAGAATTGGAAATTGAGAGAATGCCCATTGAATGAGATACAACCTCTGTGAAGACTTCTCAGGGTGGTGATGAAAAGACTGTCTCGAAACTAGAGATAGGCTCTGAGAGAATGAACAGGCCATAAGTTTAATTCGGCCCTAAACCCTCTCCTGATTGCCACTGCCACGTCAGCATTAGGTATACTAAATAAGGACACGTATGTTTGGATTGGCTATACCCTGTTTCCTTGTTCTTTGGGAATGGGAAAGATTTTTGCACCTAGAATGTAAGCCCGCCTCCCAGCCAATGGGAGTAAGGGATAGTGGCAGGGTGGGAGTTTCTTGTTTGCGTTAAGATATATAACCTTGCTTTGTCTTTTGTGCCTCGGCTCTCTCCTGCTGGTAGTATACTGGAGGAGTAGACGCCCTTTCTCGCGAGATTGTAATAAAGAGTAATTTTTGCTTCCTTGAGAAGTCTCTGAGTTTAATTGTGTTAGAGTTGCTGTACCACACACCATCAGTTGGGGAATGGCTGAACAAGTTGTGGTATATGAATGTAATGGAATAATATTATTCCATAAGAAATGATGAGCAGGAAGATTTCAGAAAAACCTGGAAAGACTTACATGAACTGATACTGAGTGAAGTGAGCAGAACCAGGAGAACATTGTACACACCAATAGCAGCATTGTGCAATGACCAATTTTGATAGACTTAGCTCTTCTCAGCAATATAATGATCCAAGACAATTCCAAAAGACTCATGATGGAAAATGCTATAAACATCCAGAGAAAGAACTATGAAGTCTGAATGCAGATAGAAGCATACTATTTTCTCTCTCCTTTTTTTTTTTTTTGTTGTTTTTTCTTTCTCATGGTTTTTCCCTTTTGTTCTGATTCTTCTTTCACAACATGACTGATGTGGAAATATGTTTAACATGATTGTACCTAAAATAAAATAAAAAACAATTATGATCTTAATATAAAAAACCAAAACAATTAGTCAGACTTGCTTCACAACTATTTTAATCTAAAAAGCTTAATTTTTAAGGTTCAAAATGTCATAACTTTTCAGTCAGGATTCTTTGTCCTTTCACTTCTATTTATTTTTCCTCTTCTATAGTCATAGTTCACGTGCATTCCATTCTTCTCATTCTTTTTCATTTTGCGTTATTTCATTAAAATTTTGTATATTTAAATTTTTTATATTTATCATTATGAATTAAATGATAGATAATATTTCATAAATTAACATACCCCAGTTTTATTTAACCATTACATGTTATTAAATTTTTAAGTTACTTGTAACTACTACTTTGAACTGCCAGATTGTTTTCAAAAAAGATCTACCGGTTTGCAACTTCACCAGCAATGACTTCTTTTTCCACAACTCTATCAATAGGAAGTTTTTATTACTTTTGATTAGTTTTCCTAGTTTGATAGATGTGAAGTAGTACCTCAGTGCTATTTTATCTCTTTGATTTTTAATGAAATTAAGCATTTTTCCGAAGTATTGCTAACGATATGTTTTTCCCCTTGAAAACTGCTTATGCAGTGTTTCTCATACCAGTTAGTGATTCACTGAGGACATTGTGTCTCAATAGCATCAAGTGGGAGAATGAGAAAAATAATTATTAATTACCAATTACTAATATGGGGGGATCCAGGATTTGGGTTCTTTTTTTTCCCTTTCTATTTCCTCCTTTAGTTACTAGGTCAAGGTCTCTGAAGGACAGGGCTGTTGATGAAATTGGGTTCATTCTTGGGTTGGACCCCACCCAACTGGGAAAGTTTAGTTTTGATTACTGGATAAAGACCATCTAGGTGAATTCCAGCCCATTGTTTAACTACATAAGTGGTTTGGGTGGAGGATAAATCCTTTTTTATAGATTGCTGGAGGCAGAATGATTCCAGTAGAGATGAGTCTCTTTGTGCAAGAGCTACATAATCAGTAAATCCCCAGCCTCTCATTAAAATAAGCCCGTCCCTCATTATAATACTCATTTTCTCATTAATTGTTAACCAATCAGCGTTGATTTTCACTCATCAGGAACACCCACTCTTCCTAGGGTATTTCGGCATTCAGGTGACCCCAAGGTTCGTCTTTGGTTTACAAGAGAAAGCCACTGACCTCAATCTATTAATTACTTGCTAACCATAATTAATAAATTGATTAATTACCCAGAAAAAAAGTGTTCATAAACTTCAAATATTTATCCATCGTAGAATCATAGTGTCTAATAGCCCTACAGCCTGCAACAAATTACCCCCTGTAACTGATTCTGGTTTTTGAAAAATTTCCTTTTCCTCTTCATCCCCAGCTAGAGATTTACATGAGTAAAGTGAAACAGTGTCAAACAATTATGAACTTATGAAATATGGATAATTCATAGCAACAACCAAAAAAAAACTTTCATGGCCTGAATCATCAGATCAGGGCTAGTTAACCCTTTTTGTGTGTCATATACCTTTTTGGTAGTTTAGTAAAGCCAATTGACTCCTTTTCGAAAAAACGGTTTAAAATGCATAAAATTAAACATGTAGTATTACAAAAGAAACCAATTATATTAAAATAGCTATTAAAAAACTCAAGTCCATGGATTCCCAGGTTAAGAACCCCTGATCTAGAGTGACTGATGATACTATACAGCTTAGATATAATGGGTAAATGCTCAACTGTACAGGCTTGCTTTATAACAGCAGATCCTGGGGATAATAAATAATAAGAATTATGCCTTTGTTGTAGTCCTTTTCTGAAATCCTGAAATATTTGAAATCGTCCTTGCTGGAATCCTCTACTATGGGACCTCAGTGATTGGTGGCTCCCTGCCTATGACATCAGAGGTGACAAGTCAATAAGATGCACCTTCATTAGACACATCCTCCGATCCTTTGCTATAAGATACCTTTGCTGCTTTAAGTATCCCCAGTTATAGTTGGGTCAGTCTGTAAACAATTATAACAACAATAACTCCTTTGAACTTCATCATGCCCCCAGGAACCTCATCATCCTGCAAGATTGCATCAGCCTTAGTACTCACACCTCACTGATATCCTCTGTACTCTCTACCTGGAGGCCTGAGTGGAGAGCTTTTTCCAAAACCTCCATTTAAGGAGGGCTGCCGGGCAAGCCATCTATTTTCCACCCAGCTGCACTCCTCTGGAGTGCCTTCACACTGGATACCCCCTCCCCTTCTTTTCAGGTTCCTTTTAAGTGTTGTCCTTCCCCATTAGATTGTAAGCTCCTTGAGGGCAGAGACTGTTTTTTTTTTCTTCTTCCTATTTGTATCTCCAGCACTTAGCACAATGCTTGGCATATAGCAGACATTTAATAAATGTTTATTGACTGATTAATAAGCATTTATTAAGCACTTAGTGTTTATCAGTCACTATGCTAAGGGCTTATTGCTTTCAGCAATGACTGGGTTGTCAGGTTCTATGAAATCCGTCTAGTCCTAATAACTCATGCAAATAGCCTTCAGCCATGTAATATATATCCAACCTACTACTTTTACCACTTTCTTTAGGTCAGTGCTTTAGATATTTAGATTTCTTTCTTACAAAGCACTTAGCAGAGTGCCTGACACATAGCAGGTGCTTCATAAATGCTTATTGAATGACAAAGGTACTAAGGTCCTTTACTGTAAAGATAGTGAAAGAGCAGTCAGTTTGGTATCAGAAAACCCGGGATTTGAATCCCAGCTCTATTACTTATTACAAATATTACTTGTAAGTATACTTATTACTTATTGACCCCAAACAAATCACTTAATTCTCATCTATAAAGTAGGGATAATTATATTGGCACTGCCCTACCCTATAGAAATTATGTGAGGATGTACTGAAGTAATATGACCAAGACATTTTGCAGTTGTAGGGTGCTATATAAATATGAGTTGTTATTGTCATTAGACCTCTGGTTATCTTAAAAAAAAAAAAAACTCACAAAAGCCAAGATAACCCTCTAGTAAGGGGACTCACCAGGGCCAATATTCCACCCCATCAGTTATTGCTGCAGACAGATGTGCTGGAAGGGTAAGGGTGGAGGTGGGTATGCTCCACAACGAAAAGCAAAGCTTCAATTTTTCCAGAGCAGTAAAATCCTCCAGATTGCCCAAAGCTAGTCTTAAAATACACAGGGCAGTTCCCTAGAAGTGAAACCATTTCTTATTCTTATGTATTGGCATTCTTTCTCCGAAGAACCTTAAAATAAAAAATAAATTATTATCATTAATTCCATTGTTAGAGGACATCCTGTAGATAGATAATTGGCAAAAATTAACATTTCTTTTACTCATTAATGGAACACAAGGAAACTTGGACTTGGTTGGGAAATCTGTAGGTATATTTTTATCACTACCTGACTTTGAAATGATTTCCTGAAATCTGCAACTATAAATAAAACTCATTTCAAAGATCATTTGAAAAAGCCCTCTCTGGCATTTCTAAAACACCTTACCACCCAATTACTCCTTATGCAATGTGATTTTTTTTCCCCAGTGGTTCCATACATATACACATAAATGTATGTGTATGTATATCTATATATCTTTTCCCCAAAACTGAAATGGAAGTTAAAAAAGGAACCTTTCTCCCTTGTTTAAAACTGCACTATGCAACCCACAGTGTCAATTTCCTTTCAGAAAGTAAACCAAGGTTACTCATATACACAGGCACCCTGACCAAAATTATTCCATTGTGTAATATGCATACTGCTTGTCTCCCAAAGTAGATGATTATGGAGAGCAGCAGGGGAGGAGGGGAAGAACCACATTCACAACTAGTTCCAGAGAGTTGTATAAAAGCTGCAGAACTAGCATCCTTCCTCATCCACCGTGTCATTTCAAAAGCCAAGTGAGGAGGCTGGGAAAGCTGTGCACTACAGTTGTTCTGAAATCCACACTGTTTTTCGTTCTGGACTCCAGAGGTTACACCCAGGATCACAATAACCTCTCTTTTGGACAGAAAATTAACTGGTAAGTGGGTTCATTCTTGTACTTTCCTGTTTGTTTTCTCCATAAGTTAACACGTTTGCAGTTGATTTGATAATGATTTTTGTAGACAATTTATTTACCTAACAAGATTAGAATGAGTAACAGCTAGCAGAAAAGGGATCATGATACTGAAAAAGAAAGAAACATAAAGAGAGAGAGAGAGAGAGAAGAATTCTCTATTTGCAGGCTCACTCCAAATTCATATTCTTGGTCTTATGTCAAAAGTGTTAAGAGATCATGCAGGGTTTGCTGTAGCTGGAAATTAACTCTGAAATTTCAGAAAAGAAAAAAATAGAGCAAGGAGAAGAAAAAAAATTAGACACTTCAAGTCATTTTCTGAGCCTTTACATAAGTAAGAACAGTCTATAAGTTTCTATTTAGAATACTTGAAAGCCCAGATATAGTCAAATAACTTTTGTAAAGCTCATTGTTGTGATGTTCAGCACGACTGTTCATCTTCACTAGGTGATAAAATGGCCAAGAATCTAAGTCCAGTTAGCAGGTGGTTATTTTAGGAAGAGGTTTTGCAAAAAGGCTTCACTATATTTCTTTTGGTGTACCTGGATTTACCACATCCCACAATTAATAGCATGCTGAAATAATCATGCATGTAAATGACATGCAAGTAGTAGTTCAAGTCTGGGTTCTTCCTAATGAAGGGCTAACAGCTAATTATAAGATCGTGGTTTATGGGGCTAGTTGAAGATTAAGTAATTTTTGCATTCGATTCAGTTAAACTTTACAAACCTCTGTGACCCCACTGTGTTCAAGGCATTTGTAATTAGTTGCCTTTTACTGGCTAAAAAGCAAGGTTTCACCTGTAATTTTTCTCTTCAGTATCTAATATTCTCTTTCCAGGTTAAGATCTACTTTTTCAATGAGGAATCCACAGGCTTGTTACAAAATTTCTTTCAGGATATTTTTACCAGCAGACTTATTTGTGTTTATTTCTTCCAAAATCCAGTGAAACTGCCACCTCCTTCTCTTAGCTCTCAGCAGTAATTTCTTTCTGAATACTTCACAAAGGGTGTGCTTTTAAAGTAATTAAATGGCTTAAAAAATTCTCAGAATCAAATGAAAGCCGGCAAGTCTATTTAGTTTCTAAGAAAACTTCAAGCATTTTTCTTACCTGCTTTTCTTTGCCAAATAAAGCTATCCTGTCACTCTCCCAAGGCTTTACAACAAAATATTTCAACATCCTCCCTTCAAAATCTGCCTCTCTGTCTCTTTTAGTGATGAAGTTCCAGCCCTCAGGTTCTTCTGATGAGGAAAAACATAATGGGAACTTACTCTATTAATCAGTGTGAACTTAATGTTCATTGAACCACTCAGAGGTTAAACCTTTAAGCTAGTATAGACTTTTCAATCCTAATTCACTTCTACTTTTTTTCTGGATAACCTTTTAAATCAGGGCTTCTTAACCTTTATTCAGTCATGGACCTCTTTGGCCATATGGTATAGTCTTGGGATCGTTTACCTCAGAATCATATTTTTAAATGCTTAAGAAATGAATAAAATGCATATATAAAATATATAGGATTATAAAGGAAACCAATTGTATTGAAATACAGTTATTAAAATATATATGTATTTATGTGTACATATATACACATACATACTATATATACATATATATTATATATACACACTTATACAGGCCTTTTTGGAGTAGTATAAGATATATATATATACTCATATATATGTGTGTGTGTATATACATATATTTTATATGTGTATATATACATATCACATACTACTCCAATAAGGCCTGCTTCCATTCTTTTTTATTGGACAGATGGTGTGGTCCAGCTTCAGCTGAAGCCCTTGATTATAGCTCCTTCAGTACCTCAGAAGAAGAGTGGGCTCTGCAATGATCTTTTAGTTTAAAATCCCAAGACTTAAAAAAAATTAGCTCTCAAAAATAAAAACAATAACATGTAATTGGGGTGAAAATATATTAAATTAGGAGGAAAAACCCTAAAAATATCCTTAGCCATGAACCCAACAGGAGTCCCTAATGGGGGGGGACCTTTCCAGCTATTTTTCCTTAAGGAGTGGCCAATATTGATCCCTGAGGTCCCTTATATCTCCAAAGCTATGACCCTATACTATCCTTAGGGACCACTTGGAGAGATGTGGACTGGATGCCAATACAGTATATTAGCCTTAAAACTGGTTGATTGATTGGATCCTAAGTGAGTTAACAAATGAATTGATGTCAACCTGGACTGAAGTCTGTGGCGTATTGTCACAATGCTCTACCCTTTACTCTATATTATTCAATAAATTTATTTAATAGATGGCATATTTATCAAATTTGTAGGTAAAATGAAACTGGAGACACTAGCTAACACATTGTATATCAGAAGAGACATTCAAAAGAATATTGACAGGCTAGACTGAAGCTAATAAGATGAAATTTTTTCTTACATCTAGGTTTAAAAAAAAACTACACGTACAAGATGGAAAAATCATGGCTAGAAAGTAATTCACATGGTTTTGAAGTTGAAATGGCCTTTGTGGTCACTTAGTCCAACTTACAAAAAAAAAAAGAAAAAGAATGGCTTATTTTCTTCCTCCTAGAATCATGGCAATAAGGCCTTCTATTCCCAGTAGAAGATTATTTATAGCAGGTGCCAAACTCCCTAGGACATAAAGCAGGATTCACCCAGCTAACTGGTACCATCAGGCTTAAACTCCTAGAGCTAGGGTCTCTCTCTTGTAGACTTCACTCTAGCTTAGGTTGGGCATTCCTTGGGTAACCAGACTCATACCCAAGCCTGGTGGGTTTTGTGTCCCAACTACTTAGGCACAACTCCAGCTTAGTTGAGAGAATTGTTAGTGCAAAATTGTATACATAAACGAGGGGCAGAGTTGATGAAAGAGGTTTGGGGAAAAGGAGAGAGCATTTATCTTTGAGAAAGGAAACATGGTGCCAAACTCTTTTTAGAACCAACTCTAGACATATGAAGAGAGAAAGAAAGATTTCGGAAGCTGCAGACATGTAAGGGAAGCCACTTCCTCAATACATCCTTGATTTCCAGCTACCCCTCTTGCAACTTTGGGAAATTTCCTCCTGGGTGAAATCATGACCTTTTTCTTGGTTTGAGTTGTGTTATCTCACTCTGTGTATTTTTTTTGTGTGTGTGTTTTCTTTAATCTGTAACTGCTCTGATTTCTGTTAGCTATTTGTTTGAATAAATAGGTTTACTTGCAGTCCATTATTTGTGGCAGTTTTCGGTGTAACCAGTATTTGGGTAGGAAGGAGTTAAACCTACAGGTGTAAGCTTGGGATAACCTTTTCCCCAAGATTCTTAAATGCATCCAGGAAGCAGCTTTTGTTTTGAATCAGTCATTCCTCTAGACTAGTAATATTGAGATGGACAAATAGATATAATTCAAATCCCATGTGAACATATAGATCTTACATGGGCACACAGTGCATATACCTTTCAATTATAGCTCCCAGTTTTAATCTCTGATGAGGAGACTATACCTAGCCATCTTCCACACATGTAGAACAGGAAATGGAGTATTGTGTTCCGGGAAGAGCAAAAAAAGGCCAGTTTGGCTGCAAGGTAGAGTGTTGAGGGGAAGTAACGTGAAATCTGTCTTTATTCTTAACAAACTGCCAACATTCTAGGGTTCCTCAGTTTGTCAATTCCAAAATTCCTTCCACTCTCCTGTGCAGATCAATGGGTAGGGGAAAAGGCAGAGAAACAAAGCTAAGCCCAGGGAGCAAGGACATTACCTTCCCCCAGCCTAGTCTTTCCTGCCTTTAATATATATCTATATGTACACATATAGAACACACATACATACATGTGTCTATATATGTACACATAAACATGTATACATATATGTCTACATACATATATATATATAACCAGTAAAACCTCAAAAAGCTTTAAGTCTCCAGCACAAATAGGTAGAATTGTTTCCAAATGCACCTCCAATGCTCTTGACTCTCCCTCACTAATTTTAGCCAGTCACTGGCTGGTTGGTTTTATATCAATAATCAATAAATTGTATTGATATTATATATGTAAGTTATATATAATCAATAAGTTACATCAATAATTACATTTACGTCAATAATAAATATTGATATAGTATATATAATATGTAAGTTATACATACAATCAATAAATTACATCAATAATTACATTTACATCAATGATCAATAAATTATATTGATACATATAACTTGCAAGTTATATATATAAAGTCAATAAATTACATCTGTTCCCTTCTCTCAGCTCACACAACTGCCAACACCCTAGTGGGGCCCGAATCCCTTTTCTCCAGGACTATCACAAATGCCTTTAATTGGTCTCCCAGCCTACAATCTCTCTCCTCTCCAATCCATACTCTGCACAGATGGTTGGTAAATTGCTGTTCTTGAAGCACCAAGTCTGGTCGTATCGCTCCCCTACTCATGAAGCTTCAGTGGTTCTTAGGATAAAATATAAATTCTTTTGTTTGTCCTTTAAAAGCTCTTCTTGGTCTTTTTCCAACCTGACTAGACAGATTTCACGTTACTTCCCCTCAACTCTCTACCCTCCAGCCAAACTGGCCTTTTTTTGCTCTGCCGGGAACTCAATACTCCATCTCCTGCCCTCATCCTTGAGTGGGAGGATTGCCTTCCTCACCTCTGACTCTTGGAATCCCTGGCTCCCTTCAAGGCTTAGCTTAGTTCTCCCCTACATAAAGTCTTTCCTGACCCTCTCTCTTTTTAGTGCTCCCCCCTCTTTGAATTTACTTTGTAAATTATTTCTCTATGTAGATGTCCTGCCCCACTCCCACCCCTCCAATATATGGTCAGCTCCTTGAAGGCAGTTAGCATGGGGCATTTGTGTAAAGCATTTTAAGGTTTACAAAGCGCTTCACATATATTATCATTTGATAATAAATGCTTACTGAAAAATTTCTGTCATTGATAACATCTAACATTTATGTAAAGCATTTTAAGGTTTACAAAG